TATGCCTTGGATCTTAGAGATTGATGGGTAGCCATGATGTGGCTATCAAAAGAGTAATTTGGATATAGTCAATCTCTTTAGGTAACATTCTTTAGGGGTCTTAGGTAACATTCTTTTGGAAAGGGAATGATCAACAAATACTATAGTTATTTGTTGATATAGTTTTCACAACCACGTGAAATTAGTTCATGAATACTACAACTCAGTGTAGCTTGGAAAATAGATATCGATTATTATATCTTTATAGATTCGAAGTCCCAAGACGTAAGAGAATTCTCCAAGATCCTTCATGGAGAATTGCTACAAAAGCCATATCTTCACCGTAGTCAACCTTCCTACATCATTCCCGATGTATAGTATGTCACCTACCTACAAAATAAAAAAATGTAACCTTATCTCCTACTATCTTTCTGTAAACATAGGGTTCATTTGAATTTTGTTCAAAATGAAACTGTTTGACTGTTGAGTCAAATCGGATGTTCCAGCTTTTAGAAGCATGGCCTTGGGCGAGAAGGTCTCAACTTTTCCATCAAGGCCCTTCTTCCTCTTGTAGATCTTGCAACCGATTGCTTTCACCTTAGGGAGAGGGTCAACGAGAGTTCAGACTTTGTTGGTTTTCATCGAGTCCATCTTGACTTTCATGACATCTACCCACTTCAAGGAGTTTATGTCCAACATAACTTCCGTATAAGTCACGAGATCTTCCTCACTGTTTGTATCTTCTATCAAGTAACTTTCTTAATCATAATCATAACGAATTGGAGGTCTAGAAACCAGGGTAGATCTTTTAAGCTGTATATTATTATCTAGAAATTGTTGGTCATCTCCCACTACTCCTGAGCTTTCTTCATCAAGTACAACTTTCCAATGATGGTTGTTCAAGATGTAGTCCTCCTCCAAGAAAGGGAATTTGGAGGGTAGCCATAGCGTGGCTATCAAAAGGGAATGATCAACAAATACTATAGTTTTCTGTTGATATAGTTTTCACAACCACGTGAAATTAGTTCATGAACACTACAACTCAGTATAGCTTGGAAAAGTATATCGATTATTAAATAGATTTATGTTGTAAAATTATTTGAATTCTATTTTTTATATTTTCAACCATTTATTTATTTCTTCATTGGTTTGAAGTTTTTTATTCTTTTACTTTTATAAAATACAATTCCTTATTCTTTTATGTTCTTAAAACATGAAATGCCATTTTTGCATATTGTATAATAAAAATAAAAATAACGATGTATATGTGAAGTCTTCAAATCTAAGTATGTGTTTGGTTCCGTGGGCATTTATAGATGAGGTGTTTATTGCTTTAAACGTTTATTTGGAGGACTTTATTTTAAATGTTTTTTACTTTAAACATTTATTGCTTTTGTTGTTTAGTTGGTCATTACTTTAAATGTTTCTTACTTTCGACCTCAGACTAACACCCCATAAAGTATGTCACATAAGTATTTCATTTCAAGAAACGTTGGGGCGTTGGGGGAAACAAGAATTTGACGTTTTCCCAAAATGCTTTATGCACATAAACCCAAACATTTATGTTTTTTAGTGTTTATTTGATAAGTGTTAAAATCAAACAGTGGTTTCATGCACAATAAACGCCAACACATAAATGGCATTGATGTGGTGGTGTTTTATTAATAATTGCCCACGGGACCAAACATAGCCTAAAATTAAATGATCTCATCAATCATAATTGGCCATTTAGACCTAGGCTTCATGAGCAGTCCGAATCTCCAGCACTTTTAATTGGTCAAAGTCAAAGCTCTTCTAGCATCATCCTCATCCACTCTCACGTTTGGGAATTTGACCAATTAACCAGACAACCCCCAACCTTGTGAATTTTGATGAATTTTATTGGTTAGTGTACAAGGCACACATGTAGGAGATCCGGGCTAGTTCATGATGAAGCCAATCAATGACCACATATTCATTCAAAAGTTTCAAAAATATCAGAGGCATACCTTTGTTATTCACCATGAAAGGAGGATTTCCTCATTATAAAAGGAACAGAAGTTTCTCCGATCAGAGCTACAAGGAAACATTAAACAAAGCACTTAAACATTTTTCACAGATTCTCTTCCTCTCTCCCTCATTGACAGTTGCTTAATTTGCTTCTTGAGCATCTCCATTCTGTGATTTCAGGTAAAATAATGTTTTGTTTTATGTTTCTTCTTTTTTCATGCAGTTTCGATGTCTTTGTTGAGATATATTGCCTAATAACTTTGTTGTAAGATAATCTCTTGACTGTGGTAAAAAAAAAAAAAAAAAGTGGTGGAATTGAATTTCTTTATAAGATGGGTCATCGGACCTTAGTGGTTCTTTGGAGGAAATGAAATACATTGATCATGGAGATATATTTGATAAGCAAGCTTGTATATGCATGGTTTATTTCATTAGTTACTGGATGCATGGGAAAAATAAAGAAATAAATAAAAAGAATTGTTAGAATGTATGAGCTGTTTGGTCATCCAAAAGAGTTTAAATGTATCTAAATATATGGTTTTGGTTTTGTTAGAAGAGTTTCCATGTTGACTGCCAAATTATAAATTATATATACAGAGGGTTTGGGGGGTTGAATGGAATTGGGTTTTAATTTTATGCAACTCAACTCATAATGGGGGCAGAAACTAACTATGAAGGTTGAGGGAAATTAATGAACCTCTTTATTAACATCCATGTATATTAGACATGATTTTCAGATAGATTGAAAATGCATGGAGAACCTATGATCGATTAGATTGCTTCCAAGCTAAAATTTGAATTTGTAGACACTCTAATTTATAGTATTAATTTTCAATTCCCTGCACAGAATGGTTTATAAAAACTCAGGCGTATCCCTATTTCTTCTGATCTGGACGCTGGTCATAGTTGGAGCGAATGGATACTTCGTAGGCATTACTTATGTGGATAATGCTGTAGCAAAGGGAGCTGGTAATTAGATTATTTTATTATTACAAAAATTAAATTATTAATATTCTGGATTTGGTATGTACGTAACGTATTAATGAATTAATAATTATTTTACAAATGCCATGCAGTTTGCTTAGATGGGAGCCCACCAGCATATCACATGGCTCCAGGATTTGGATCTGGGGTTAACAATTGGCTGATTTTGTTGGAGGTATAATTAATTTATTATTAGTACATTTTTAGGAGACTTAATTACGCACTTAACTTTAATTTGTAAACCACCTGATGATCAAGAATTTGTGTCATTGTGCGTGTACACACACACATACGTAGTACGTAGTGTACTAGATCAGAATTAAACCATCTGTTTAATTCACGTACATAGATACTAATTGCTTTAATGGATTTGAATTTATTTACTTTTAAAATATGCTTTTCTTAATTACCTAATTGTTAGGGAGGAGCATGGTGTAACAATGCAACAACTTGTCTAGCCCGCAAGAACACTCGTCTAGGCTCTTCTAAAGAAATGGTGAAGCAGCTTTCATTCTCTGGATTTCTGAGCGACAAGGAAAAGTTTAACCCAGGCAGGATTTCCAATTTATTAATCCCATGCACGCATTCTGCTTCATTAATTTTCAATATCTCTTGTGATTTGCTATCCCAACTCCAACACACTGAGTATTGTTCTGGTCTCTGTATTTATTCACAATCCAGATTTCTTTAACTGGAACAAGGTCAAGGTTCGATATTGTGATGGATCATCATTCACTGGAGACGTGGAGGCAGTAGATCCAGTACTGGGTCCTTCAATCCTTGGATTCTGATTGATTGCATTTATTTATGACATTAATTTCATGAGAAAAAGAAATATGAATTGATCAATTATCAATTGATGATGAGTTTGTTAATTATTTACCTGACCAGGCAACCAACCTTTACTACAGAGGACAAAGAATTTTTAATGCTGTTGTAGATGACCTGCTAGAGAAAGGGATGAAAAATGCCCAAAATGTATGACAATTTTTATTTGATTTGGATTGAAATCCACCATATATACATATCGATCATCTTTCATTTCCTATCATCATCATCATCATCATCATCAGTATGTACCATTAAAATGACTTGAAGTTGAAGATATTATTGCTGCTTACAGGCTCTTCTTTCGGGTTGTTCGGCTGGTGGTTTATCTGTCATTCTCCATTGCGATAAGTTCCGTGAACTCCTACCTCAGAGTACCAAAGTAAAATGCATGGCTGATGCTGGATTTTTTATTAATGCGTAAGCAGCTCACCCTAACTAACCCCTCTAGCTAATTAATTACCTCATTAATTCCACAAACTACCATTAATTCATTAAACCCATATGCATATATAAGACTAACACTAATTAATGATCATGCATGCATGCATGCCTCATAACAGGAAGACAATTGCTGGGACAGAATACATAAAGGAATTCTTTAGTGATGTGGTGACAACCCATGTATTCTTCTTCTCCTTTATCTTAAATTCTTAATTAATTAACATATATTGGTTAATTACTTTGCACTTGTCAATGTCGTTGCTTGTTATATTGACTATATACCTACCATTCATTCCATATTAATTTTACATTTTTACTAGCTAGTCAAGAGAAGAAAGATAAGAAACAAATGTTTAACTGATGAAATGCCACACATATATAATTGCCCATCAACTATATATGGGGTTCCTCCTCTTTTAATGTTTACTTGTATATTCTTACTGCATGCTTGTTATTCTTTCATAGCAATCAGCGAAGAACTTGCCTGCATCCTGCACTTCCAAAGGCGATYCAACTTTGGTAAGTATATACTTAATTATAATTGTTCTTACTGCACTTGTTCATTTTTATTAATTAGTATGTCTTATTTTCCCAACTTTATATTCACTAGCTACATCGAGTTTCAATTTTTCTAATACATCTGAACAAAACTACAGTGCTTTTTTCCCCAAAATGTGGCACCACAGGTCACCACACCACTCTTTATATTGAATGCAGCCTATGATTCTTATCAGGTGAGGTTCTCCATCCCGGCCGGCCCAGTTGTCTACCTAATTACATGTACTACATTCAATATTATCTGATATATCATTGTTTGATATGCTTCCCAATTCCCATGCCAATTTCCTGGTTTTAATCAATCCCATTTCACTTGATTATTGGGATGTAAATTTATATAGTGTGGGTATATAAGTGTTCATCTCTACTGCTTATTTTTTATTATAGGTAAAGAACATTTTGGCACCTGGTATTGCTGATCCCCATGGGACTTGGCATGACTGCAAGCTTGATATAACAAAGTGTTCAGACACTCAACTTCAAGCCATACAAGGTCACTTTAACCCCTCCTTGTGTACTTCTTTTCTAATTTGACTACTATCATGTATAAATATGGTCCTCCAATTAATCAAGATAAGCTACCTATTATGGGAATCATGGTTATAGTTATGTGGGTGGTATTTGTAAAAGCTGATCACAAAACAAGAAACTCAAATTCTACACTGCCTTTGGGACTTGGGTTGGTTGTTGTATTATATATTGATGCAACTGAGAGGGTGCATGTGACTTGACACACAGGTTTTAGGAAGGAGTTTCTAAATGCAATTAAAGGAGTAGAGGGCTCTCCCACAAAGGGATTGTTCATAAATTCTTGTTATTCCCATTGCCAATCAGGAATGCAGGAGACTTGGTTGAGGGAAGACTCCCCTGTTCTTGATAATATGGTTGGTCATCAAGATCTCTCTTTCATCAATTCATTCCTGATTTTTATTACATCTTTTCTTCAATTCTTTTTTTTTTTATTCCATTATATATATTTTCTATATAGAATTGAACTCTCATTAACTTTTCATTATGCCCATTTTGTGTTTTAATTTCAGAGCATTTCCAAGGCAGTGGGAGATTGGTATTTTGACAGGGGCACCGTCCAAAAGATTGAACAATGTGAATATCCTTGCGACAAGTCTTGCCACAACCGTGTTTTCACCGATTAATATTAATGTTCATCTGCAGCTGCAGTATATAGTCGAAACTTCCTATATACTGGTTTGGTTTTATTAGTGACCTATCATCATCACCACAGATCTGCGAATCAAGTCAGTTATTCAATTTGTTATTACTAGAATAAGTAGAGACCACAATTCTAAACTCAATTAAGGATTGGTGGTCCGGATCATTTTTTTTTTTGTTTTAAATTCCAGCCTTACTTTCTTGCATGGCTGTTAAGAACTTTTTTGGGTCCTTTTAAACTAAGTACCTTGGGGATTTATGTACAGATACTTATCAATGTATACGGGGCTGTAAATTGTATTTTTTTTTTGTTTGAATAAATAAAAAATTTAGATACATAATATATATTTGTCAATATTGCCATTGCATAATGTAAAGGCACAAGGCTTACCTGAAAGATTGTTTGCTATATTCTAAGCCATGGTCTCTTTTTGTTTTTTGATAAGTTACAGATTTGCTTCTCTTGCTACAATACATGGGGTACTTTGCTCCGCCTCCGCCCATTTGAAATCTAGACCAAGTGTGATTCATACTCTGGCCAAGTATGAATCGTATTCTTGTCTAGTTCAAATCTGAATTCAAATATTATCTAATTCAAAGATTATCTAATTATTTAATCAGATAAAATATGATTCAATCTGATAATATATATATCTTAGATGTTTATTCCAGCAAAGTGTTTTTTTTCATCTCCAGGCATGAACCAACGTTCATGGCCTTTACTTTGCCCTTTAGCCTATAACTTGAACGAAATCACCTCAGAGGAAGAACCACTGCTCAGAACAAAGACTGAACCGCTGTACCCAATCCGTGCATTGATGACAACCCAATGGAAAAATACATCCACCAACTGAAAGGAAAGACACTCACAAAAGACTCCACAATCCCCATCGGAAACCTACCCTGACACATTGGCTAGAGGAAAGAAACCCACAGAAGTGGGAAGAAGACTAGCATTT